ATTCTTGGATCTGATGTTTAGAGCATACTACTATCAGCTACAAGTGAACCATAACTAACAGTCAAATAGTCATCAAGGATGGAAATCATTATAAAGCGCCTTGAGGCAACTGTTGATGTGATTTGAACTGTCCATGTGATTTGGCACTGTACAAATAAAATGGAATTGAATTTAAATTAAATGAAATGAGCATTTTGGCTCTTGTCTTATAAAACATATTTCTGCTTTGCTTTTTATTTGGGCAGTAAAAGTAACAGCCATATAAATTATTAATGTTATTCATTTAACCTGCTCCTGGTTAGTGTATGGCGTTTCTGATCTGGTTGGTTTTAATCCATCAGTGTTGGTAAGCCTACAGTTACTGTATTTTTATGACCAATAAAACATCATTAAATAGACTTGATGCCAAACAAAATACCAGACCTCCATCGGAAGGGCATATATACATTGCACTGGTGTTCCAGAGGTACTAGAAGCCCATGTATGACAGGACGCTAACAGGAGGGCGGCTATGAAATCAGGCTGAATACATGTAGCAGGTGGGGGGTGTAGGGGGCAGTCAAGAAAGGCTCTGGTGTCTGGCTATTTTCAGGTCCCCCGTTCCTTGCAGGCCAGCAACAGTTGATACCAGACAAGCATAAAACACATTTCCATGTGCATCAATGCACATACACACACGCAGAAACCAACTTCACACTTACATGGAACTCGGTGGTGTTGAGAATGTGACGTCCATCTGGACTCCAGCGTGAGGAGACTAGTCCTATTGAACCCTCATCAATCTTGCAGTGCCAGTCCGGCTGTTCAAGAGACCACACCTGAGAAAAAAAAACGTCAGAAGGAAGACAGAGCGGGACACCAGAACAGCAAACGGCAATTACTCAAGACATCCTTTACACACATCCTCTAACTTTCTCAGTTTGATTTCAAATAGTAAGAACACATCAGACACAATGAAAGACTGGCACTGGATACCCTTTCAAAGGTAAGCAGCTTGAGCTACGATGTGCATGAAACTGACATCACTTCAGTAACAATAATTACTGCAATTCTGTCACTTTGAACACTTTTTGATCATCCTAAAATAAAGAAGTTAAAGCAGAATAAAAAATAAACAGCATGGTTCTAGATCATCGAATGACAGAAGTAATGAATATTAAAAATTTATTGTACGTATTTGAATGCTAAATAGTGAGTTTCACTGAAAGCAGTCTCAGACTACTTCATCTAATGTGGAGTCTACTGTGTCCTTAAAGTAACAGCAATAAGAATGTATGTATAAAAAAGTTAATTAGTATACATTTTTAAGACTAAAAGAAGGATGTACATGTGATTGAGACTTCAAACAGGACATGTCTAAAGCCTCCAAAAATTTAAAGTACAATATACGATCTCAAAAAATTACAACTGAAGATACGGAGCATTTGTTTTGAAGAAGTATTTCTGTATGATATTTCTAAATTTAGGGAATGTGGCATAACTGGTCTATTGGTAGTTTGATTAAATAGAGCCTGTCCAACTAAAATCCACATGCATCACTTTAGTATTCAGTTTCTATCAATCCCCCCCAAAAAACCCAACATTATTTAAAAGAGTTTGTAATTATTTGTATAATCGTGAACAGTGTAGACTGACCACCTCTATTCACACCACATAAATGGTCAGATAGCCACATTACTTTTCTCTCAACCTACCTGTACTAGTCCTCTCTTGTACATAGCACACAGAATAAAGAGAGAATCAGAGGACCACTCCATATGGGATATTTGGTCGAGGCAGGTATACAGGTGCATAATCTGCAAGGTGCTCACATCTCGCACCACTAACCTGTACTGCACACATGTAGCCTGAGGAGTAAAGCCAAAGACAACAATCAGCAAGGAAATTACCTATTTCCATCTTATCCATATGGAAATGGTAACATAAAATGTGAATGAAAAATATTTCTTTCTACTGAAAACAATTAAAATACTATATAAAATACATATTGCATTACTCAAACACTTACCAAATACTTTCCATCTGGGGAAACTTTACAAAGCTGATTGGACTGCTTGAAGACCTCAGAGAAATTCATCTTACAGTGACAATTGTTTTGTCATCTATGAAGCACAATTTCCAACTGAAATGAAATTGATTAAGACATTAAATCTTTTACGGTAAAGGACAAAGGTTGTTTAAAGATAAATCAGAACTGTAATATTTTCAGCTAATATTATTTTATTATTATTCACATTTTTGGAAATACGTTTCCAAAAATACTTGTCTATTTTTCTTACACTACATTTTCCATAACATTATTTACTGTAGTTATAGTTTATTATGTTTTTATGTCATTTCGATGTTGTAAACTGTGCATTGTGAACATAACAGCTCAATAGGGGACACGGGTTAGAAATTAGCAATAAACTCTATGTGCAGCGCATCAGTTTCATGCTCCGCACTGGGAACATGTTAAACGTCATTGTCCTTTTCAAATACATAAATTTTAACTAAAACAACTGCAAAAGATTTGCAATTTGTACCACTCATGCCAACTTACGTAGTTTGCAGGTATTAACACGTGATGGCGCTAAAGGTCCAAGAAAATGACTAAGCCTCAAAAAATAGGTATGCAGAAAATACACAAAAACTGTTTCGTACAGGAAAATAACTCGACTTATATGGCAACTACTTAGCTACATAAAACGGATTTAATCCTTTCCCAAATTGAGCATCATCACAAACAAAGCAATTTTCGTAGCTATCTTGGTTTAGCTAACTCTAAAGAAAGACATGGAGGAAACTAATTCGTCGAGCAAACCATGTCTGAAAGATGTGTTTCACTGCGATTTTTGTCAAATTATTTAACCAGTGGATAAGAACTGACCACTACATGCTTAAGGTAAAGTTAGCTGTTTAACTAGCTGTCACCAATGACTGAGCTCGCTCGAGACTAGCATGTAATGCTACTAGCAACGAAAAACTCTATGGTAGCTTTCGACCAAATATCACCGTTTAATGCAAACACTTACTTCTAGCGTTACTTGAGTTGTTTTTGTCACTTAAAATATTAACGTAAAAGGTTCAAGAAATACTTCAGAAAAGTTTTTTCTCCACATGACTGCCTTCTGGTGCATACGCTGTTGATTCAACTGCTGCTGGTTTGTTTGGACGAATACATGACGACATACTGGTGTTGTCCAATCAGCGTTTGCTGTTAGAGTTTTCTTGCCTTCTGGGAAATGTAGTTTATAAGTCAAAGGAGCTTGCAAAGAAAAGCGTCTGGACTTCTTTAAGTTACTTGAATTTCTGTACCAAATCAATACAAACATATAAGCATCGTATTATCATCACAGGTTTATGGGCTTTTAATCATGTAGTGTAATTTAGAACATGATACTTTTTTTTTTCACTTCGCTCATTGCCTCAAGTTCTTCCCCATCATGTTTCTTTCGTTCTTAATTGTATCCTACAGTTGTATATATATACTTGAATGTATAAGCAAAGGCAGCCTAACACATTTATACATACTTGAATGTATAAGTAAAAGGCAGCCTAACACATTTTTATTATCCCCCAGCATCATCTCCTAGTTGAGCCAAAGCTTTCCCGCTTATATGCGGCTGAACCGCGCTACCGCCTCCCTGCTCTCCCAGTGCAAAAAACGCTTCACCTCCTCCTCGGTCACCCTCAGCAAAGATCACACTTCTCTGGAGAGCATGCAAATCAGTTTTCCTCTTGAATCCGGTTAATATTGCTTCTCAGAAAAGTCAATCAACTCCAGTCATTGTTATCAACCTGAGTCAATCGATTTTTTCCTCTTTTTTTTTTTCCTTGTTGCTATTTTTTATGGAGGGTCACTCTCTCGGCACGTTCGATAATAAACAGACAGCTGCTGGACGCAACATATTTCCTGGGTGTTTGGATTGGAATAAGAATAACCTTCAGGTAGGCTCACGTCTATTAATGTTTAATGAGCTATATGTTACAAATGGTGGTCTGGATTTTACTTGTGAGCATTTTTTCCTCCCAAAATGTGACAATTAGGCTGAGTTTTAAAATAAGCTTATTCACAAGACGTATTGAGAAATGTCAAAGGATGGGTAAGAGTGAAATGTAAAAAATAAAGTAAAATTTACAGTCTATATTAAAATCCTTTTGGTTATTTTGTTGATCAAGGTCGCGGTTTGGATAGCCTAATGGTCTGTTTCACATGGCTGATTCTTAGGGCAGTAGCCAATACAAATAATAGGCCCGCTAACAATAATGATGATGATAATAATAATGACTTAAATTTAATACTAGGCCTTTTGAAAAAGCATTAGCGTACAGCAAACAGAGCCTATGCAGACTATAAGGCCTGTGTTGCAATTTATTATTTGATTTGAATAACCCACTTATACTTTTTGTCGTTGCATTTCTTTATTATTTTTTTGGATACATTTCAAGGTAAAACTTTCAATATGCACAAGGAGCGACATCCAAATACTACTTCAACCGTGACAACGCTATGAATCCTTAATATTTCACGTGGCCCTAAGGAGGGCCATCGAATCTAAGACCATATTTTTGAAAATTGGTTTATTCTCAATTAAGACTTTTCTCCGAATAAAATGGCTCTTGGGACGGCACCGTGTGTGTATGTGTGTTGTCATGGGTGCTGTAACCCTGGAGTGGAGATACAAAATAGAGACAGGTGAATATCACAGAGGCGCAATGTCATATTCGAAAGGAGGGCGAGAGTCAGGCGGCTAGCAATGTTTTTATTGAAATAAAACGGTAATGTTTTTTATCATGGGAAAGTCGACAATTACGATAAAAATGTATATAAAATCATGTTCAAATCAAGTAACAAGTACATGCCAAATCGTGCCAACTGTACTTTCATTCAATAGGCCTATTTCATTTTGAACCTTTGTTTGTTTGGTTTTTTTTTTTTGTTGTTGTTGTTGTTTTTTTGGAAGGGGGGTTGCTTTTTTTGTTGTTGCTTTTTTTCAGGTTTGAATGTCGACTTTTAGTATCTATCTATCTATCTATCTATCTATCTATCTATCTATCTATCTATCTATCTATCTATCTATCTATCTATCTATCTATCTATCTATCTTGATCAGTTAAATAACGGGCTAAGTGTAAAAACACCACAGTTTTTCCCCCTGTGGTGCGGGCTAAGTGAAAAGGAGGTAGGCTGTGTGTCCAGGTGGAATGCCAATTAAGCTTCTCAACGTGGGGAGCGGAGCTGCTGTCTTTTCTGCTGCTCGTCTCGCACTGGTTCTTTGTGAGATCCCCTGTGCGAACATACTGGTTGATTTGGGATTTTCAAGGCGGCACCGAAGGACGAGCTGGTGGGAGCTGGTTTCCGCGGCGGCATACTCCGCGGGAACAGCGGGAACCTGAAGCCACACAGCTGAGCTGCAGCTCCACAGTTCCAAATTACAAGTGTCCACTTACGTGTGCGGCTCTTAAAGATGCGCAGTGCGCCTCGCTATTGTTTTAATGCCAAATGCGGTGGTTTTTGTGCCATGCATAATACGCAAGCTTAATGGCCACAAGAACAGTTACAACAAAAAGTAAGGAAACTAAGGAAAGCAGCCTTTGTTCAGGACACATGACATCACTTTAGATGTTTACTGGGTTGGATATCGTCAATCGATTCCGTACAGACCAAAGTGAAAAGACCTCTGTTACCTGGCGATAAGGCTATAGGGTGCAGTAGACTTACAGATTAAACTTAAACTCCTAAATTCATAGAATTTGAAATCTGTATCTCCAGCCACACTGGCTAAAAACACTGAAGATTTGCGTTTATTTATGTACTGCAATTTACATCTCTCAGCCTTGCACCTTTGCCACAGTTTTTGCCACAATCCTGCAGAGGGGTTACTAAGGAGATGTGACGCCGCCATGGTGGGCAGCAGTGGGTAGGCCCACAAAAAAATGTTTGTAGGACCAAATATGTCCGACAGGATTTTCAGTTGGATGTGTTCGTCAGCAAATCGAGCTGGAGACTCAATGGAAAATCAAGACATCCCCTTATCGCCTTTCCCGGTAGGCCTGTAGTGCTGTATGCTTCTATTCTAGGTTTTTGCAAACGAGGCTAACTTTGACACCTCGATACTTATTTAACACTGCAAACATGCCCGGATGTGACGAGTACCTTCCTAAATTTCCACAATCATGCCATCATTTTAACTTAACAAGCGGCGATACTATGTTTTCTGAATAAAGTTGCGTTAATCTTCGCTCAGGAAACCAGATGCGCATCTACTCAGAGCTATCCTGACTTGCGTTTTTACTTAGGCGACTCCAGTCTGAATACATTTTCGAGTTGTAGTGCAGGCGTTATTTCCAGACAGAGACGGAGGATGTGATGTTCAGCCTTTGAGGGACAAAAGCCTCCCCTCGGAGTGAGACGGTGATGAGTCAGACAGGCCCGGGCAAGCCCAGGCCCCACGATACCTTGTGCCACCTCAGTGGGACTACATTAGTGCGATCACACCTGGATGAATGTGCGTTTATATTTTGAACTTTTGTCTAATATATTTTTTAACATGGGAAAAAAAACCGACCATATATTTGGACTTGCACGTTTTAATTTTTCAAGCTAAAAGTCAGTTTTTCGGTAATTGTTTCAGTAACTGCCCCTACATTTTTAATTAAGAAAAGAGATCTTTGTGTAACTGTCCGTGCCTGTGTGTGTTCTTTGTAGAGTGGTCTTCCCCTCGCCAGACTACCCATCCTCTAAGATGTCCCAGTCCACTGTTACTGAAGAAGGAGGCACCTTTGAACACCTGTGGAGCTCCCTGTGAGTGTCAACATCACTGAAAACTGATATACTTCCCATCATGTTTTCCAAATTATATAATGATCTGATTAAAAATGTAAGTGTATCAAGTTAATTATATGATATATCTCTCCATTATCTAAAATATTATTTTCTTACAAATTACAATTCCTAATATGTGATTAATTTTAATCACATAATATGAAGGAATACATAATATGAAGGAAAGTGACGTCTTTTTTCTGTATAACACAGTGAAATTATTAAATATGTTTACTAGAGCTAAAGATAAATACTTGCCTTATCTAACAGCTGATTTAATTTTTTTCCTCTGTGTGGGCATTATTCAGCAAACGCTAAAAAGTACTGCTGTATTTTAATACTTATTGGTTAAAAAAAGACAATATTTCTTACTGCATAATGCACACAAAAAGAACAAAACTGTCACTATGAGAATTCAGACTTGATTTCTCATGTTCTGATATTTTATTATTTTGGATGACAGATTATTTATGCAAGTAGGATGATATCTTTAAATTCACAAATTTGCTAAGAAAAAAGTATATTACCATAAAATTATTTTGTATTATCAGATATTTCATTTTTATTGCGCTGAAAGAATAAAGATAAGCAAATAGTCCAAAATCTTTAAACTAAGCAGCAAGAGAAAAAGGGGGAAAACCCACATTTGCCTGCTGTCTTCCATCTTAAGACACACAGCAGGAAATCTATAGCTGGAAGGCTCAAAAAGAAAATAATCTGGTTGTATAATAATTGATTGCAAGGAATATAAAGGATCATAATTGGTTACAATTTAAGGAAGAAAGGATAAAAAATGATAGTACTTGGTAGAGATAAAGGGTATACTTGTATTCTATGACTTACATGGATAAAAAGTATTTTTTTTTCAAACTCTTCTTTTTATATAATTCTCTCTATTATATGATACAAAAACAAACTTACGCTATAATTATTTATTGAAATCCCACATCTTATTAATCATCTTATATGCATTGTGTGTTCACAGAGAGCCAGACAGTACCTATTTTGAGCTCCCCCCAGGCAGCCAGCCAGGTGAACAACCAGTGCCGTCTACCAGCAACCCGGGGAACCACCACAGCACTGCAGAGGTCTCCATGGATGTCTATCATATGAGAGACATGAACGAGAATGTTATGGTAGGAAAATGAGTTCATCTCACACATTGTGGTCAGGCTTTGCTTTTATATAGAATCTGTTAAGTTTTTCTTGTCATTATTGGATGTGGTAGTTTATCTTGTGAGAACACACGCACACATCTAGGAATGTTTTTTTTTTGTCTACTTGTATTTTCCCTCTAGTGCTGAGGAGATTCCCTTCTGTGTTGTTTCCCTCTCCTCTGCAGCTTTTTCCC